AATTAGGGATATGCACAGGTTTCACTATAAGTAAATAAGGTCCTCTTCTTTAAAAGTGCCACTTGAGGACATAATGCTGGGAGTGCAGCTATACCTGACTTCCACAGTATTTAAATTCCAGGGAAAAATATACAAACAGACTGAGGGAACTGCCATGGGGTCACCATTATCCCCGGTTGTGGCAGATATACTCATGGATAAGTGGGAAAATATGACGATTGGAACGTTCAGTCCCACCCCACAAGTATGGTAGAGGTGTGTGGACGACACATTCAATGAAAAGTGGAGGCAATTCAATTCACTTATGAATTGGAAAGTCAGGAAGGGGAGGTTCCAATGTTAGATTGCAACGTAAAACGAAAAGAAGATGGGAAGTTAAACACTAGTGTTCACAGGAAACCCACACATTCAAACAGATATTTGGACTTTCGATCATCCCATCCTATGTCAGTAAAAATAGGTTTGGTGAAATGTTTAAGTGATAAAGCACAAAAACTAAGTAGTACCAAGGACAGGCATTTGGACTCATGTGAAAATTGGGCTCAATTCATTTTATCTAACACACACCACCCTCTTCATTCACAATTCTCCCCTTGTATCTCATCAGGCAAAACCAGAAGCCTATATAGAAAACTATATGCTCGCACTAGCAAGTACAAAAACTCAACCACACCCTACTTAGTTCGTGTTCTGTGCGATAAAGAAAGCATTAGGCGTGATACCTATAACTTATTAAATAGTCAGTAGAGCAACTGGATCTCTCCTCTTTCCAACTCATATCATTTGTAGGTACGTTTTCTTTCTTTCCTTTTTTCTCTTATGTGCTTTGTTTTGTTTCTCTCTTCCTTACAAACTCTACTTAAAACATTCTTCTTCGTTCTTTCACACTCTGTATATCTCGACCATTTTGCTATCGCTTACGCCAGTAAATATGCTAGTAGTATCTACTTCTCTAACACGTTCAAACACTCTGTTTAAATTTTGGCTTTGCTACACCGATATGCTAATATGTTGTTGTCAAAACTAACTGAGATTACCCTTAATCTATGTAGAATTTTATTTACTGATAATGTACTAATTGGATGCAATACTGTAGTAAAATGCTGAGAATTCCATTCTGTATCACAAGTACTGTTTTGGAATAAAGCAAATTATTATTGTTATTAAAATATAAGACAGGAAGTGATGCATATAAGAGAAGCTTTGAAACTTAATAATTACCCTGATAAATTAATCAGGAAGTATGTAGGGAAATGTAAATATAAAATAAATAATTATAGTAGTGATAACTCGTAATAATAATAATAATAATGACGATACGCATGTCAAACATGCGCAAGGCAATACCAACAATAAAGAATGTAAATCATCAGTAGTAATTCCATACAAGGAAGGAACCTCGGAAACCTTACGCAGAATTCTTAATAAGGCAGGAATAAAAGTGGCTGGTATTCAAACAAACTCAATTAGAAACAAGCTTTGTCGGTTAAAGGATCAATCCTGTGGAGCCTTTAAAACAAAACAATTTAGTTTATCTAATACCCTGCAAAAATTGTCAGATCAAATACATAAGTCATAGTAGTAGAACAGGTGCTGTCAGACTAGCCGAGCATAAAAACCTAACAAAATCTAGATTAGTTGACCTGAATAAGATAAGAAATCTAGAGAATAGTTCAGCTGTAGCACTCACTACATGCAATCACACACAACCATACAGCAAAGGATGGATGGGATAGGATGACAGTTTTAAAATCTAATGTCACAGCTGGGTGGAGGGAAAGATTGATAACAGAAGCTTTGTTTATCGAATCAACTGAAAATACGTGTAATAGGAATGATTCAACAGCTGTCCCAGATATCAAGTAAATGAGGTCGTCCACATATCTCCATCATACCCTAGAAGTAAGGTTAAACCTCATAAGGGCTTTACAATCTCAAATATTGTTAAATATATCTTCCATAGATGATCTATCGAATAAACTGTTGCTAAACATGGATTTCATAAATCAACTTCGAAATTAGTATATTTAGTTTTGTTAGGACTGACTCTGCAGAAACAATTCTTTGTATGAATTAGGTACAGACACGTGCAACATTAATTTAAGATTAATTAGCTTTATTATCAAGTATTGGTCTACAGGGATTTGATCGGTTACAGGTTTGATCATGAGTTGACAATACTGGTAAACCTATAAGGAGTACTGGACAGTTGTTTCATTCTAGTTTGGGACTCCTCACAGTAGGCATCCACTGGGATTAGAACTCAGGACTCCCCGCTTACAAGGTGAACTCGTAGACCATTCAGCCAGTGGAACCCAATCTAATGGCTCATAAATTCCAACTTCTACCGATTTGCGATATATATAGCGCACTCGCCAGCTAATCTCATGGGTGAGTAACTTACCGGACTTGGTGGACCCCCTAGTTACGACTTCCTACTAGGACTCCAGAAAACTTCCCGTACATAGCCAGCCAGTCACTAGCGTGCATCAGATTGGTGGTTGCGCTACATGTATCGCGAATTGGCAGAAGTTGGGATTCATGGACCATTGGATCGAGTCACAGCGAATGAATGGTCTACAAGCTCCCCTTGTAACCGGAAGCTCATGGGTTCGAACCCAGGTGGGTGTGTACTGCCAATTGCTTCTATTTGAAATGCAATATACAACTGGATTTCATGTATTCATTTAAATTTGTCTGGCTTCCGTTTGACTGTTAGCAAGTAAGAAGCACAAATGCTTAATATATTTTAGTTAAGTGTGTTATTCAGAAATTTTCACCTACGGCTCACATACTGACAATGTAAAGCTAAGTTAAAACATTTCAATTTTAATATATCGTAGTAGATTTCATACACTAATTCAAATTTTTTTTAAAAAGACAACCTTTGTCAAACGATGTTATTTTTACACAATAGGCTGTATAGTTTATGTTGTGGTGTTAACACTAAAAACATTGCTTATCGATTCATTGTCCACTTAAATAAATAAACATACAACAAAGCACAACTAGGTGTATGTATTTAAAGTTATTTGGATATGTTATCTTGTCTGTCGCTTAACTCAATTGGCAGTCATACTTTTTAAAAATAATCAACTTTAATTTGATTAAGTTCACTTGTATATTTTGAGGAATTTAAATAATAATAATAAGATTGATACTAGGACATCAAAGCTTGACAACAACATATACTATTGGTTACTTCAACTACTGTTCCCATTCTTCACAAGATACAGAAGACTGAGACAGCAGAATTTATTCCTCCATGGGAAAGGCAATCCCATCAGAAATTAGAGCTATTTTGCCTAACCAATAAATTTCTAGTCTAAGTTATACAAACTATGTTCTGATTGGTTGGCATGTACTGATCAGGTTAAACTTCAACCACTAAAAAGTAGCTACGCATGAGTGACCTTGAACACACTGATACATGAAAAGAGCAATTCCTGCGTATTAAAATGCACATGAAATCAATGAATAAATAGGCATGAAACTATTACACCGTAAACCTTTCTTTGAAGTGTGACAAAAATGCCTATCAGTTTTGCATTGGTATGCCAACAGAGTAATTAAACTACATTCTATGCATGTATTCATGTAGGTCTTCTAACCCTAACCTAACTCAAACCAACCCTAATGTATTTCTTGTTAGGTCAATGTAAGCCTGACATGTCTTTAGACTAAACCTTAACTTACTCTCTCTCAAACTTAACCTAGAACTTTCCAGATATTCTGTTTGATACCATAACACTTCACTAAGCATATTTATTCACGATTACAGTGTTATTTTGAAATAATGGAGATTTGTAGCTCAGGTGGATGACTTGCAATTAATAGTGTTCTCTGAGCCGGTTGGTTTAGTTGCGGTGCTTTCGTTGTCCTTCTAGACAACATCTTCAGCGCAATATTTAGCATTTGGACTTTAAAATCCAAGTCAATAGAAAATGGTGAGTACATATGTAAAGATGGTTACTGGGAGACGCAATTGTATCACTCATGAAGAAAATTTAAATCATTTCACTTTATGCTAAATATTTCGCTGAAAGGGGATGTTGTCCAGATGGATGACGAAAGCACCGCAACTTAACCAACCAGCTCAGAGAATACTATTAATTCCATAGTGTTATTTGCCGGATTTCATTACCTTGCTGATTGGGCGTTTCTAGGTCATTGGTGCGATCTCACTTCTTTAGTTTTTTAAGTCTAATCTGATCCATGTAACCATAGAAATCGACTCATCTGACGCTTAATCTGCGGTAGGGTCTAATGCCTCAGATGCATCCACTCCCTGTGACTTATGATCTTCAATGAAACTGTTTTGTATTTCTTTATTACTCCTTTGTCTCACACCTCTGCTCACTGTTTCTATTATGCTTTTCTTGTACTTTCTTCTCTTGCTTCGCGTGCGACACGGAATGTGGCGACTTGAACTTCCGCACATTTGTGCAAAGTTCTATGTCGAAAACAGACAGACAGACAGGGTCTAATGCCTAATTTACATGTCACGTAGACAGAAGTCATAATATATGTCCTTCTGTCCTAGCAATTTCAAGAGAATCATCTGTATTACTCCACAGAATTACTTCGCATTCTATAGATTAAATTTGTATTTATTCAGCTACCAGCAGTCACACATGACATAGGTTTTTTTTCCTTTTACGCTCCCAGTGGAACACAGGGCTTCAAGCTAAAAGCTTGAACTTTGGTAGCAGTGGTGTTTATTTGTAAGAGGTGGGGTTGCTAGTCACATGCCCAACCTTCCCTCTTCACCAGTCTTATTACTGGCTTAGCGAGGTTTGGGAATGCATCGGCTGCCGACGCACATAAGAGTATAAGAGCATCAAATGTGTACGGGGGAAGTGGGATGGATTTCCTCCTTCAGTGCCCATAGACAATCTCCAAGAATCTTAATCTCTTCTTTGGATTTATATTGAATTACGTAACATTTTATCTTTAAATATCTACATATCATATAAAGTGTTTATCTACAAAATCTTCAGGTACGTACAAAAGAACGTGTCTTCGACAGTATACAACATCTTATTGACTATCACGTACAAAATGGTGCTCCAATTCGTTCTCTTGACAGTGAAATAAAATTAATATTCCCAGTATCGACGCATACATTTTGCATTTCTTGATTTCTTTTTTATTGTATCGCTGATTCTACTAACTAACCCCTTCAGTTTTACATGTAAGTTGATATTATTATTATTGTTATTCTTGTTTTCAACTTATACTCTATTCACATAATAATTCTAACTAGTAGTAGTAGTAGAGTTTACATGCTGAGAAATAGCTGTCTCCAATTATTTTCTTTTTGAATTGATGAAGTTTTAATGTTTTTATAATTGATAATAAGTGTTCATTCAAACAACAAGAAAGTACTGCCTACATTTAAATATTATGTATCAATTTGAAGAGTATAAAATAATATTTAGTGGCTCTGTCTGAAAAGAAGGATATTTTCTTTTCACAATATAGAGTAATAGCTGGGTGTGCAGTGGATGGATGCATTTTTAACGTATATAATACAATTATTGATTTAAAACCAGAAAAAAATTTCAAGTTTTTGTGTGCTAAGGTAAATAGTTTGACACTATACTACTGATTGATAAGGATGAGAAGTTGCTTGCCTCACACTAAACTAGTAATACCTACCAGCCAGTTCGAAGTGATCACATGGCTCATTTGTGGCTGAGCGGTGTATCAACTTAGACAGCTGAATCCCTTTAAACCGACCCAAATCCTGGTTAACTATACTTGGGCGAACTGGCAATACACAATAAGTCTAACTGGCGATTCACCAGCTACACACTTCAAGATGAAATTCCTCTACAGTTTTCTTTGAAAATCAAAACAATATGTGATCTGCTTGATACCATAAATTATTATTACTGTATTATTGTTCCTTTGGGTTCCTAGTGGAACATAAGGCTTCAAATGCACGTCTCCACTTGCCACTTCTGTCTTCCTTCTGCTGTACTTTTCACCTGCATCCATGTTAGTTGATACTGTTTCAACTCCTCTTCATACGATCTCCATATCACCCTTGCACTGACGTCCCACTCGCCGCTTCCCTTTCAGGCTCCTCCACTCGAGCAATGGCTTGTCTAGTGATGTCATTTGATGGTTTCCTCAGAGTATTTCTAATCCATCTGCATTTCTTCCTGCCTATTTGTTGCACGATCGGTTCCTGGTTGGTTTGCTCCCAGAGATCCCTCCCTATTGTTGATCTTTTCTGGCCAGCCATCTGATCTTAGGTATTGAGCGAAGACAACTGTTAATGAAGGTCTGAAGTTTGTTTGAGGTGCTCTTTATGATGCGCAGTGCAAGTCTCTGATCCGTATAGTAGCACTGACCTTCACATTGGAGTTGAGAATCCGGATGTTATTTTTGATGCTGAGTGATGTTGACCTACACACAGACTTAAGGGTAATGAAAGCCTGTCTTGCTTTTCCGATTCTGGTTTTGATATCCTCGTCAGTTCCGCCTGTAGTTAAAACGATGCTTCCCAGGTAGGTGAAGGAGGTTGTTTCCTTCAGGTTCCTCCCATTTATGCTGACTGTCGTCTGTTGGTGTTGGCCAAGAATCTTCATCACCTCTGTTTTCTCTATGTTCACTTGAAGTCCTATCTTTGATGCTTCTTCTGCCAGCTTGTTGCTTTTCACTTGCATATCTTCCAGTTTGTGGGAAATAAGAGCATTTAAGACGGAGTTTACCTGAAGGAGAGCCAAGATTAGGTGAATTGTTTATCAGTATCGAGGTGAACATTAGACAGTTACTGAAGGATAAGATCAGACATCGAGAGTTAAATGCCCCCTTTTTCCTCTGTGGTTAGATGTTAGGATGGGGTCTACGTAGGAGTATTGCTTTTGAATCGTAGATGGAAAGATAAAGCCTTTTTTACTCTACCGTTAACAATTCATGTTTGCAACTGTTGTAAGTTGTCTTTGCTTGAATAAACTCTTTTGGATGTCTGTTTCCATTTCGAATAACTCTGATGTCGTGAAGTTCTTTCTGTGCATTATCTCCGGAGCTAATTAACCTATACATGTGATCAAACTGCACGTATAATTCATTTGTAAAAGGTTAAAGAAAATGTGTGTAGGGAACTGTTGTCTTTTATTTTTCTGGAATTATTATTCTTTTGATGAAGGATTCACCTTCTTTCCTCATTGGTGAAACGTCGAGAAAGAGTCATTCTGTTCGCTATCATAGTGACTCAAAATCGATTCATCACGTATACATTTATCGTAGACTACAAAAGTGTCATCCATATAAGGACATTATATTCAAGTGTTGGTTTGTAGTAATTTGACTGGTTACAGGATTTCATCATGAGCTGATATTAGTTAGAGAAACATTGGAAAACCTGGGTGTACTGGACAGCTGTTTCGTCCTAGTTTGGGACTCTTCAGCGGTACATACTCACCGGGATTCGAATCCAGGGCCTTCTGGTTACAAGGCGACCTCGTATACCCGATCCAATGGCCCATGAATTCTAACTTCTGCCAATTCACGACATAGCGCGACCCCTAGTCAATGTCTTCGGTGAGTATTTGTCCCGACCCGCTGCACCCTACTGGTCAGGACTTCTCACTAGAACCCCAGGTAACTACCTACCTGAATAGTGCAAGTCGCTAGTGAGCATCTCATTGATACTCAAGTGGTGTAGTTATAGTTTGTTTCACTTTCTGTTAATACTATTCCTATGTATATATATATATATATATATAATTTTCAACTCTGAAATCTATACTGAATTTATTAAGAAATTACTATCAAATTTTTTGTTTTTATATTACAGGACTTTGCTTTTAAACAATTCACATGAGGCGGGGCGGGGGTGGTGGTGACGCACAGATCCATCTAATAATGAAGAATACATCGATGACGTGCAAGTCAATGATCTCATATTTTAAACTTCATCTCTGTGATCTACCCATTTTAATGCTGATGATTATTTTAGATTTTTGCTGTTTTTTTTCATTACTATTATTTTTTATTTCGTAACATTCCACACACACACACACGGGAAAACACAACAGTTATGTACATTACTATTTAGCTTTCAGTGACTACTTTTCTACTCTGCTGCTGCTGCCCTATGCAACAAACAACAACGCAAATAATATAAATATCTGGTTGTAAAAATTGTGATTTTTATCATTACTCTGTGTGGTTTCCTCTTATATTTTTCATTTTGCTTTTCTACTGGTGTTTGTTATTTTACTTTCTTTTTTCTATGCTGCGCATAAAAATTTTTTTTAAAAACGGAACAAAGCTTTGCATAATTCATCATTTCTACTTTGCAAGTTTTCTTTCTTCGTCTACAGTTTATAATAGTTGTATGTATGTATGCGTTTTTAGGAAAATTCAGTCATAAAACAGTGATATTATGGTGTGTCTGTGGGGGGGGGGCAATATTTAATTATTGATTATTTAATTATACTCCAGTTTTCTCTCACCTTAGTATAATTTTTATTATTTCGCCTGTTTAAATCACCATGTCATGATGAAATGGAGCAATGTGTTTACTAATATGTACTGATTTTATATATGCACAAATATAAGCAAGTTATTTAAAAACAAGGAGTGTAGTGAGTAATGCCTGTTTATTGTATGCTTTTTTCTATATATATATATATGATACAGAAGATTTGTAGCTCAGATGGATGATTTTGATGTGGTTGTGTTTCTCTGGGCTAGCTGGATAGTTAATTTGCAAAGCTTTCATCACTCTATACTAGGTGACATCTTCAGCGCATACTTCAAATTGAATTGAAGTAAGCTTTTAGATTTCTTCACGAGTTCACCATCAATCATCTCTCCTGGTCGGTGACCTTGGACGTGATTGGTTGTTTTAGTGTATGTTTTCACACCATCTAGGTTACTTGTTGTATTGAAACTGATTGTTTCTTTGACTTGAACTTTGACTCTTTGTGTGTGTGAAGTTTCTTTCTTATCGGTTGATAAATTTTGTCTATCTCGATGTGTCTATTGATTGATGATTCACTGGAATGTCAGGCAGCCTTTTAAAAATTCTGTCTTATATTTGAACGTTGTCCTAGTCGAATTAATGTCCGTGGTTGTCTGTATGTAGTGATATGAGGGAGTGGATATCATGTCCTTTGACGGCTAGCTTATGATCATGGATACGAAGACGAAGGGGACGTCCAGTTTGGCCAATGAAGTGTTTTTCGCACTCGTTGTAGCTTATTTTCTAGATGATGTTGGTTTGATCTTCTTTCGCTGTTGAGTCTTTTGGTTGACGTAGAACTGAGTGAAGCGACTTTGTTGGTTTGTGTACGAGGTCAATTCCTAAAGGTTTGAAGAGTCTTGTAGTGATTTCTGAGATATCCTTTATATATTGTGGGGCGATTTTCTTTGTGCTTTCCTTGGGGACTTTTGGTTTGATAGGTTGGCTTGGGGGTATATGTCTTTTGATGAAACTCCGTGGATATCCATCGTATTCTTAGAGTTTTGAGTAGAGCATTAGGCTTCAAACCATAGTGTTGTTTCTTACGGGGAGGCGGTTGCTAGCCTCACACTCAACCTTCCCGCCTTTCTGGGCTTTTTAAGCAGGGTTTCAGAGTTTGTCTGGCAAGCATTCTGCAGTTGAATCATGGACACACGCATGGTTATATGCTTGTCGAAATTACAACTGTTAGGTTTTGTCTCGAGTCATCATTGAAAGCAAGGGATCGCTGGACGGTTGTTTTGTCCTATTATGGAACTCCTCGTCAGTGCGCACCCACAACCTCTTTACGGATCGAGTCCGAAAACTTTCAGGTTGAAATACCAAGCTCGTTCACTATTCATCCATCCGTGTGTGAAGCCTAACTTTGTCAATTCGTGATGTAACACTGCCCTTACTAGTGCTTTCGTTGAAAGTTCACTTCACATTGACAAGGTGGATCTTATAGGTCACATGACTTCTCACTGCAATTTTCTTGAAATTGTTGTATAATCTTTAACTTAATTACGCGTAAAAAATGAGATCTTCGCAACGGAAAGAGAATACTTCACCTAACTGAGAATGTCAAGGAATGGAGCAATAAATGGAATCTTTATAGTTTTCTAATATCTGCTATATTGAATTAAGTGTCAGATTTGCTAACTGGTAATCCACCTAATTTTTTATTTCAAATTTAGCCTGATTATATGCAGATGAATTTGTAGATTTACGACCATTACAATATTAACAGTTATAGAAGCTGATTAACCTTGCCAATCCTAAGCCCAGAAAAAGAGTGAAGGTTAAGCTTGAAGCTGGCGACCTTACTGCAGAAAATGTCTTATTGCCATAGAAATCTTCAAAATTCGTTAAATTTTCATTCTTCTCCACATAGTTATTCCTTTCCTAGTACACTTCCATTTATTATAGTTTCTTTGCATTTCTCTCTTCCTCCACCTTTATGTGTACTATGGGGTTTGTAGCAAAGTGAACTGCTGCACTTTTGTGCAAAGCTCCACGAAGAGAATTCAGCCATTGGCTGACTAATGCAAAGTTTTCATCAGCAAAAGTAGACTTTTTGAACACGCTGTTAACATATATAACTTCTTGTGTTTTGTTTTCATTTGAGATGTAGATTTTGTGAAGCTGTTACGTCAGATAATGACCATAATATTCATAGGGAAACTTAGTCTAGGTAAAGTGGATAAGTTCGCCTTTAAAGCTGAGAAGTAGCCTGTGAGAAGTCACGATAGTGTTCATCAAGCGCTGATGATGAATGCCTATCGGGTTATTAGTTAAAAAGTTGAAAATTAATTATGGGATGCTGAAGATTTGTAATCCAGTGACTGCAACACTTAGTGGGTGAGGATCACCAGGTCTTCCCATCTTGTGCATACATCTTGCTCACGAGTGCCAATAAGTCCAAAGTCTTGGGAGCTTCAAGCTGTTCAACACTTACCATTTGGTTTAGCGATCACACTATAAACCTGACTGATAGAATTCAATGTGTACGAAATGATTACACCATGAAGTCATCTATACTCAGTAGTTTGTGTCTTTGGTATACGATGCAGAATACCCGGGGATTAGCGGTTCGAAATACTTCTGAAATACGACATACACCTACCTAACTTCAGCATAAAATACAAAATTATTATATTACCTATCCTTCTAAATGATTACCACTTTGATTTCATACTAATTTCACTTAATTTATTATTAAATGGCAAGCTAACCCATTTATATACCCGAAATCTTATTATTTACAACCATTAAAACTTATCTATGTCAAAAACAAGTTCAACTTTAATGGTTTGAAAAAGAAAAGAAAAATTGGTATTGGGCATATGCTGTTTGTAATAATAAGTATAGAAATTTTGTATTTCCCAATGACTGACTATTAAATTTGATAAATTTATTAATTAACATATTAAATAGCGAGAAGTTAATTGAAACAACATTCTTCTGTTTACAATTTCATTACGAAACACAAACTTTTTTATAATAGTAACAATAATGATAATATTAATAATGAACATGAAAGCACCTATTTTTCCTTCACGAGTAATTAAAGGCCTTCGTGGTTGTGAAATTGATTCTGTATAGGAGAATTTCTCCTCAACAAATTGGTTGTTATTCTTATTTTATTAGCGTATATCTATCTGCACAATATCTACCCTGAAGAATACTAAGTTTGCACTACCAAAAATTTAAACTAACATTCAAGGCATGCAAAAGACAACACATAATATTATAATGGGTCTATAACTTGGTACAAAGTAAATGTGGTATATATGTATATAATTATTAGCTAATCATTGCCTAGTTTATTAGAAACTGCAGCAGCCAGTTGAAAATAATGACGAAAACGTTGTCTTAAGACAATGATAAAGCTTCGCATATCTTCTGTCCAATTTAAATGATTAACAAGCCTTTCCACATCAGGTATAGGTGGATTGCATAATACAAGTTCAAAGCGATTGCCAGCCATAAATCGTAACTGGCAACAGCAAACAATGTCGGTAGTTGTACAACCATGAAACAATAATTGTAGTAATCCACAATGTGTTTTTTGTATTTGAATTCCAAGTAGACGTTCAAATGGTTGAATTAATTTATATATTTGCGTTAAATTTGAATTTTCATATTCACGTGAAAATGATGAACTATCAGAAGAAATACTTTCTGATTCCATTGGTTTCATGTATGCATTCTATAAAGGAAAACAAATAAATAAATTAAGAAGGTGGTCAGAAGACGATGCATATTAGATATAATGGAGAAGATTCGTAGCTCAAGCCCAGAGGTGGGGGGGGGGGGCGGAAGATGATTTTAATGTTGTGTTGTTGTTGTGTTCTTTATGAGCTAGATGGTTTACTTTAGAAGCTTTCACTGCCCTATTTTAGGCAACATCTTCAGCGCACACTTCAATTTGAAGTGAGCTTTTAAATTTCCCCACTACTCCTGGTGACCTTGACAACGTGATTGGTTGCTGCTGCCTCTGGATTGGTGAATTTTATCTATGTCAATGTACGTGTGGAGAATTTTCGAAGAAAAAATATCTCATGGGGATATCTTTCAGAAGAATGGATATCCACAAAACTTTATCAAAAGATATCTACGCCAAGACAAAGAAACAAATCAAAGGCCTCCAAGGAAAACACGAAGGGAATCATCTTACCATATATAAAGGATGTCTCAGAAATCACTGCAAGACTTTTCAAAACTTCAGGAATTGTGATGTCGCAACAAAATCACTTCACTCAGCCAGCCCTGTGTCAACCAAAATACTCAATAGTGAAAGAAGATCAAACCAACATCATTTACAAGATAAATTGCAACGACTACGAAAAACACTACATTGGCTAAAGTGGACGCCCACTTCGTCTTTGCATCCATGAATATAAACTAGCCGTCAAAGGACACGATATCCACTCCTTCATATCGCTACATACAGACAACCACGGACATTAATTCGACTAGGACAACGTTCAAATATTAGACAGAGGAAACAACAAGAATGCTAGAGAATTTTTAAAAAGCCCGCCTTGTATTCCAGTGAATCGTCAATCAATACACACTTTGACATACGCAAAATTTACCAATTGATAAGAAGTAAATCTCACATACAAAGCGTCAAATTTCAGGTCAAAGAAACAATTAATATCAATACAAATAGACGACTAGAGGATGTGACGACAATCAAGAGGGACGAATCATGGCCACCACGAGAGATGACTAATAAACTCGCGGAGAAATTCAAAAGCCTACTTCAGACTGAAGTATACGCTGAAGATAATCCCTAGTAGTAGGACAATAGTAGGTTCGCAAGTAAGCCATCCAGCTAAAAGAATACAACTACATCAAGACGATTCATATTTTTATAATAAAAAAAACAAACAATAATAATTGAAGTACTTTTAAATTAATAAACCTACCTTAGTTGACCTGTATTTTTCAATGGAGGCATTTAATTGCCTAATTTTACGTTTGATCGAATGTATCCGAGTGATTAGACTGTCTGCCTGCTTTTCATCATTCAGGAGACGCTCACGTAACTTGTTGCTGACTTCACGTAATTCTTCTGACCGATCATTTGATGATTCTAAATCGGGATCTACTTCATGTGTAATGTTAATAATATTTCTTAGGAGCTGTAAATAAGCATTATTTGTATTCGAATCCAATTCATCGTTTGAAACACTAATCATCATCCAATCGTCTGAATAAGAAATAGTAATAATAATGATGATAAATTATTGATGGTAAAGGAGTTATACACATTTTTTTTAGTCACTGTCTACACACCTACTTTATTTTTTCAAAGGTTGAGTGATTAATTATCTTTTTTGTAGAACTCAATTATTACCCAGTAAAAACTATAGGCTACGGGCCTATATTTAACATGTATGCGCTAATGGTATTACCAAGTTGCTCAGGCTGAAGTAGATGGAGTGAAACTCCAGTCCGGGGATCTACTGACTGGAAATTAAATGCTTTTATTTAAGCCAATGTGCCTTATCTCCCTTCATCTTTCAAAGGTCAATAATTCTTTATCTATTTATTCTACAGAACAAAAAATAGCACGTGAAAAAATACAAACTATTATTCAAAAGGAAATAATATACGTAGTAAGGCCATACGAAAACGACTTACTTTATGGTGTCCATAAGCCACTGAACAACCCTGAAATCAGCAGTAAAAGGTACTTAGGCTGTGTGTGTGTGAATGAATAACTCGTAACCAAAGCATTCTAGTGCAGCAAATAGCTAGACTGCCTTAACCTTTCATCATATAGTAATAATAATATTCCATAAACAGTACCTATAATACAGGCAGCATTTGTCACAGTATTGCATCTAATCTACTCGAAATATAAATCAAACTAACCACTGGATTTTTGTCCACTTTTAGAGTAAATTCAGAAATATGCAAAGTACAAAATGAGAATAATAATAACAAAAGTAGGTTTGTTTCGAACAATACTGTCGATACAGTATGGAAATTTCAGCATGTTTTGTGTGGTACTGAATCTAATATCCCCTTGATGGTGAGGGGAAAAACACAACAACGGAAAACTCAGCTAGGCGTTTGGAATAAACACAGGAGTCAGACAAGGGTGCTTATTATCTATCACCAATGATATTCCTAATTGTGGTGGACTGACTGGATTATGCGTCAGACAGTGGGGAACAAGAAGACAGGGATATCCTGGACCGACGTGAAGAACCTAGAAGACCTAGATTTCGCGCGTGGATGATTTATGTTTGATGTCACACAAAATCGAAGACTTACAAGCGAAAACCGACAAACTGGTCGAAGAAGCAGCCAGCGAAGGTAGGACTCCAGGTGAATATAGACAAGACGGAGGTGATGAAAATAACCAACCAACAACAGCAGCAACATCCAGAGTCAATCACCATCAACGGGAGGGATTTGAAAGAGGTTACTTCATTCACTTATCTAGCATTGAGCATTGTCTCAACTACAGGAAGTCGGAACGGACGAAGATGTCAAATCGAGCGAGAATCGGGAAGGGGGGCGAGAAACACATTCATCAACCTGAAACCAATCTGGAAACCCTCGTCACTCAGCCAGCATCAACAACAAAATTCCGTCGGATTTTCAATACAAACGTCAAGTCAGTCAGTTCTTCTATACGGATCAGAAACTTGGCGGGTCACAAAGAATATTTCCAACAACCTGTTGCAGACCTTTATCAACCAACAACTGTCTTCACTGGCTCTATACTGAAGATCAGATGGCCGGGCCGGATAGAATCACCAACAAGAAACTATGGCTGTGAACAAACGAAACAAGAACCAATCGCCCAACAAATATGCAGGAGAAAGTGGATGGAGATGGATTGGAAACTCGCTGAGGAGGCCGCTGGGTGACATTGCGCGCGCGTCAGGCCATTTCTCGAGTGGAACCAGGCCGAAAGGGAAGCGGCGAGTGGGACGTCGGTGTAAGGGTGATATGGAGGAGATCGTGTGAAGAGGAGTTGAAACAGTATGGACTAACATGGATGCAGGTGAAAAGTACAGCAGAAGGAAGACAGAAGTGGCAAGTGGAGACGTGCAGTTGAAGCCCTATGTTCCACTAGGAACCCAAGGGAGCAATAATAATAATAAATGATGTTTACACTTATGAGAAAATAAACAAGAAAATGTGAGAGGATTTTCACACTCCATACAACATACATAGGTAAAGAAAGTTTCTAAAACATTCAAAGGAAATTTAATGGACTGAAATATACGCGAGGAAGAATAATTGATTAGAAAGTAAGTTATTTAGTAACCAGTGTAATGTAACAAAGGACTAGAATCTTTGCGTAATTACAGACTGATATTTTAAGTACTGTTAGTCAAACGGAATGTCTGGAGATTTATCTCATATTTTTAAAAACTAGGATAACCAACAATCTAGAGAGAGAGAGGTCTGATGCACCTACTTGGATTTCTGTACACTAGATAGTACCTTAGTTTATCTAGATAATATATCAATCAAGCACTATCTAAAAAAACTAATCAGACCAACTTGTCCTGCTGTTAGATCTAGTTTTAGATTATTGAAAGCTTTTTTTCAGTTCTTCTGGAGTTGAAGGGTTGGATAATTACATCTCATTCAAGTCGAGATTCGACGACACAATCCGTACTGCGGTTTTATACCAGTTAAACTCGCCTGTTATTAAAGCCCCATTCTTTTCGGAGATCGATCCACTTACGACAGCCGTTTTTATCGAACGACGAGATATATTTGAATAAAGATCATTGACTTATGCACTAGACGTTAAACTGGAGTTCGAATCCCGCGCCACCTACTTCAGATTAGGCAACTGGGTAGTATCATCAACCCTGAAACTACTACTAGTATAGCTTTTAGCCTGGTACATGAACATCTGTCCATATAACTGAGTTCAAACAACTTCTCTGTGAACAAATGAGAAGTAGTAACAGCTCATATGAAACAAATGCGACTCAGCCTGGTACATGAAAAAACTTATTCTAGATAACTAGATTCTATCCATCCATTGCTATTTCATGACCTATTTCCTTAGTCAGTCTAAATAGTTAGTAGATATTTGACTGTCGTCACCTGTAATCGTTGAAAGTCAACTTTCATTTTGTTATTTCTACAGTCAGTCAGGGTCAAACTTCTTGCATTGATTAGTTCGGTTGAAACTACAGCAATCGCGTGGCTTGGCTGCAGGTTACCATCTATCTCCATTACCATTTTCTACAACAGCTGTGGCTCGAGAGCCTAAGCACTCAGCTTTTGACCAGTGAGTCTTCAGTTCGAGTATCAACCTACCTACTTTAATATGTTCAGCAGTATCATCAAGCCTTATATAATAATTGTGATTCATTATCTTGTAGATGAAAAAATCGGTTCCACGTAACTGAATATATGTAGGGTACAGTAAAATTTACCTTAAGGTATCTGTCTGTCTGTCTGTTTTCGACATAGAACTTTGCACAAATGTGCGGAAGTTCAAGTCGCCACATTCCGTGTAGCACGCGAAGCAAGAGAAGAAAGTACAAGAAAAGCATAATAGAAACAGTGAGCAGAGGTGTGAGACAAAGGAGTAATAAAGAAAAACAAAGGTATCTATTTTGCTGCAAAGTGATAATCATCTTAACCAATGACTTATGCAAGGGAAATAAACCGGTGGACGAACCACAGGAGTAAACCAGAAAGTTCGTACCCTCAAATTTATTATAGCGATTACTTGTTACAAATCTTCATGTGGTGATTGACTATTTCTATCTCTGTATTGTTTAAATACTTACTGTTGATTGTTAATATGTTTCTTATATGAATTGCATAATAATAACGCTAAATACAAATTCCTGGATTCCGCCCTCTCTGTGTTTTGTTTGGATTCTTGTAATTCGGTCATCTCGAAATACTAATACTACGATTACAATTAATTACAACAAATTGGCGCCGCGATGGAACTAAATAACCTGGGAAAATTTCCTATAAATGGTTCTCCGCGGGAGATTGCTGATTACCTTGAATGCTTCGATGCGTGGTGCCTTTCAAAAAATGTTCGGGATGACAAAATACCAGCACATTTCATTACTGCTATTGGGCTAGATGCATATAGTCTAGTGAAGACTTTGGCGTTTCCAGATAAACCTATTTCTCTGTCATATGACAAGATTCGTGAACTTCTGATAAATCACTTTCATGTAACTACATTTGAGACGAGAGAGAGGGCTCAATTCCATAAACTAGTTCGTGCTCCCAAGCAGAAGATAAGAGACTTTATTCTTCGACTTCAAATTCAAGCTTCAAAGTGTAACTTTGGAGATCAGCTGCATACTCAACTACGTGATCGTCTAATTGCTGGAATCAATATTCCTAAGTTAGAGAAAGAGTTAATTGAGATTCCTTCTTGTACCTTTCAAACTGCTAAAAATTTTTGTATTACATATGAAGATGTCGATAATGAATACTCTGCTCCCATTACGTCAGTATCTGATGTCATGCTGTCCAAAGTCGAAAATACAAGTGTTCATGGAAAGCAATCCAAACTGTCGCCCACAAGTAATAGAATGCAGAGAGAGATCAAAAACATTAAACCGTGTTTATCCTGTGGAAAGTTACATCTACGAAGCACTTGCCGTTTTCGGGGTGCTAAGTGTCACAAATGTGGTAAAGTTGGACACATCAAGACTGTTTGCAGAAGTTCGAATACTTATGTTACTCAGAATCCTGATAATTCTTCCAACTTATCTAGTAAAATGCAGTCGATGTCTCTTTCAACTTTTCAAAATACTCAGTCTCATCCAATGAAAACCTCCACTACAAGTTCAGCAACTCAAGCACCAACTGTTTTCAAAAATGTGGTAGCCGAGTTACAATGCGAACTGTCGAAAACACGAGAAAAACTGAATGAGATGAGAGAGCAACTGAGTAAAATGGAGGAATTATTGCATATGCATAGACTACGTCCGTTGAATGCAGAGCATACAAGTACCCGTGAAAGTCCTGCAAAACTTTTCAAATCTCGAATTCTCAAAAAGCATCTGATGTCCACGACTTCTAATGTACATTATTACAACGGTAATAACTATAGACCTTCTGTTGGAATTATACTACAAAAAATGGGAAATCGAGTGGTGAAGATATTAGACATCAAAGATCACTCAGTTCATAACAGACACCTGGACAAAGTGACAATAAATGAAGTAGGTCGTTCCAATTATTATTTTAATGATTCCGCTAATAATCCTGATTTTGTAGATAATTCAGAAATAAGTCCAGAAGATACTGATGAAAATAATATCACAGAATCAGTTAGAAGGTCGCAGTTAGCAAGCAAGCAAATCGAGACATCGTTATAAATACGCAAGGAGATATTCGACGTGTGGCGGATGTGGTGATTGACTATTTCTATCTCTGTATTGTTTAAATACTTACTGTTGATTGTTAATATGTTTCTTATATGAATTGCATAATAATAACGCTAAATACAAATTCCTGGATTCCGCCCTCTCTGTGTTTTGTTTGGATTCTTGTAATTCGGTCATCTCGAAATACTAATACTACGATTACAATTAATTACAACACTTCATTAAGTCACTTTACTGAAACCAGTTATGTCTACAAATGGGAGGAAACACTGTTGCATTTAACAGACCCTAGAAGCTCAATGAAGTACATCATATTTTTAC